CTCTACGGGTAAAGCTTAAAATGTTTGATGGATTCATATGATGCAATATGCAAGTAATTGACGTAAACACATCCACTGTATAAAACCTATTCTGGTAGATGTCATCGTTTTTAACATTTTATCTTTGACCCACGAGGGGACAGGCCCAACAACAGCTCGATGCGTCTATTAAGGTTTTTTCTTGAATAAGTAGGAAGCCACCAAAGATACCACGCTGATTTGTGTACTAGCTGACCACGGCATGTCTTACCCCTTCCGCAAATTTGTCGGCATTTTCTCCAAAACATATCTTGACTTTTGGCCCATCTGTCGAGGTCATACCAGGTAGGAGTCTTGCTAAATCGACAATACGTTTCAGTAAAGTTCTAGAAACAGATTCGACCGATGTTCGATTCGATCGATTGATGTCGGTGATGTCGGGCCTAATTGTGTCTGAGTGTGATGGCTTGGGTCAGCAAAGGCTAAGAGCGATTAGACATGTTCATTTCCTCTTCTGTAAACGTTGTATTACGCCTGCTCTTGCAAAAAATATTTTACTGCAATCCACCAAATGAACATCATTTTTTAACGAAGATGTGCTTTGTATTGTAGTGAAAGTTAGGGGTTGAGCTCCCGTTGTGTCAGATAAATATACAAGTACGGCAATAAATATACGGCAAGTACCGACGAGCATAGTTTGCGCCGTGGCTGATGCAGACGTGTTAGGTTGGTGATTGTTCATCTTTCAACTCGCTTTGGTTATTGGTACTTTTATGCACGTGACACATATCTTGCATGAGGCAAGCGAGGTGGTCATGATCTTGAACTTTTAGTGCTCGTATGCAGCACCTGAGCTCCTCTGCTATCGCCTGTGATTGCGTTTAGAAGATGTTTCTGGTATAGCTTTAGTGTGCTTATCCAGCATTGTTCTTCACCGTGTAACATCTCCATCATGATCATCATTGTCATGCATTTTAAGACTTTGTGCCTCGTTCCACCTGGTACAGGCCTTTTACAAGTTTCAAATGTTAGTCATCTCAAGCAGCTGGTCATTTCGCGCCGAATGTCGTTTACCACGGCGCCGCAACGTGATTGGTTACCATGTGGCAGACAAGGAAATGTTTTTTTCTCATGAGCAAGTTTTACCTTGTTTGTGCCAGAGGTCATCTTTATACACACAAATTATTATCGGCATAAATGGTGTTAAAAGATTAAAAATAGGCGTACCCCATGACCATGTGAAAATGTCCTCATTGTATTGCACTACAAAGTAACTAGCTTCTACAGTTAACAACAAGATACTTCGACTTCAGAGGACACAAAATGATAAAAGAGCAAAGCACTTTTCTGTAGCCTCTGCAATAATCATAACATCGATTTGTCCTGTGCCATCCCATCCTGTTTAACATGGCAACTTCTAGGGAGTGAGGCTATTTATCATGAACTTCAATGGACATTTCAGTCGTGGAGATGTCTTTGTGACCTGAGAGGCCATTCAATTAACTCAGATCAAGTACATTTACATATCTTTACTGGCAGACGTCAAAGGCTATAATGGGCCATTGTTCAGGCATCTTTGCATTTGTTCTTGTCTAGTGCTGTTTTGTTCACGCTCAAAACTTTGATGCTTGTTGCAGGAAAACTGGAAATCAGAAACGCTCGGTAGGTATGACCCCCTAAGGAGCTTCATTGCTTCGCCCGTTCTGCTGCGCTATGCAATATGGTGGGATGGCAATTTGGTAGCAGGAAACCAAGTCTACTAACATCTCCATCCATTTCGAAAATGGATGCACTCACTCTTCTTCTCTAATGCGTTGCGTGCCAATGACTAAGTTAAAAACGATTCCTGACAACTTTTGTATTGGATATCTCTAAGCGCCTGTGAACAAGAACCTAATGGCCAGAGGAGATCGAGGACTTGGAAATTCCAGGGGTGCCTTCTCTTTTGAGCATGTAGCATTTCTCCTCAATAGCTTCGCTCGACTAACCCGTAACTTCTCATCCGGCCCTGCTGCTGGCAAAAGCCAAATGCAGTACCACTTATGTCGAGAAGAGAAGTGGGTCTTCAACAATGAATGGTAGAATGGGCGTGGGGGATTCCATAAAGCGGCTGGAGTTAAGGCATTCCAAGCCCGTGAATCATCACATAAGGCTTGCGTTAAACTATCTAGTGAATGGTCTATGGTCTTCCCCTTCCCTCCCTGCTGACTCCTAGGCGTGCGAAGGCTACAAAGATCGGTAACATATCTACGTTAGGGAAGAAAGCGAACACAAGCTGGATTTTAGCATAACTGATAGGCAATATACACATGATGTTGGCAAAATCCTATCCCTTACGTTTATCGGGTAAGTACGTTATGCTAATCCTGTCGCGAGCCCGCTAGCCTACCATTCTCAGCAGACGTACACAACTTGTTTTAGTCAGCGCGAAGCTCCCTGAAGCTGGAGAGCACAATGGCAAATCAGTCAAGAGTTTAGCAGGAGAAGCTTGCACACAGCTGGTTGACATGAAAGGGCGCTTGAGGTTGAGCTGGGAGAGACGTGAGCACTTTAAGCCGACCTTTCGTGATTCTCCGTAAGTGCCCTGGGGAGGGCGTGACCTAAGGGTCCGGGCCGTCAACTCTGGCAGTTCGTTCCGGCAGACGTCTGCATGAAGCAGCGCCGCACTGACAGAATGCTAACGGGCCCCACCTGCTACATCAGACGGTGCGCTGGCGCGGCGTGCCCGGACGAGCCCAGCGCGCCCCACGGACGGGCCCCACTCGGACGGATCAGCCGAGCCCCCATCGGAGCCCGCCTCTGCTGAGAGGCGAGCCGCAGTGCCGGTGGGACACAGCTGCGATGAGGTGCTGCCTTGGTCCGCCTGGCACGCACGCTCGACCAGAATCAGGCTGCTTCCTAATGCGTGACGTCACCAGCTTGTTGAACAGTGCATATATGCTTTCGCTTTACAAAGCTTATCATGTATATATATATATATATATATATATGTATATGTATGTATGCATTAGGATACCAGATATATCTTATATATCA